TGGGGAGGGCCCATGGTAGTTATCCTTTCAGGTTTCTTAGGAGCCTCTGTACTGATTTCCACAGTGACTGCCCAAGCTCACACTGTGCCAGCAGGGAAAGCGGCTCCTTCCGAAGCCCCAAGCCTCACCAATGGTGTTTCACTTTTTTTGTTTTTGTTTTTGTTTTTATCATAACCATTCTGAGATGTGGTTTTGACATGCATTTCCCTCATGTTGAGAGCATTTTTCATTCATCTATTTCCTAAATTAGTTCAATCAACACACCCTTATCAAGTAGCTACTATGGTAAGATACAGAGGCTAGGGAAGCATGACTCATGTCACTTGAAAATTTATCCTTGCAGAAAAGCAGAAACAGACTCACAGCCCTTGGGCTGTGAGGGCTAAGGGGTTCACAGCTTCCGCAGAAGCCTCAGAGAGAAGAGATTTTGATGGGCACGTCTCAGTAGTGCTTTTGAGCTAACGTATGAATGCGGAGTAGTTATTTTCAGAACTCCCCTGGGTGGGAAGCGTGGGGTGTTTGCAGGTGTCATACAGGGAAGTAAACCCTGTGAGGAGACGAGAATGACCACCCAGTGCAGACTGACTTTGTCAACCTGGATCAGACCCCAGGAGGGGTGGGGGCGGGTCTAATGCCAGGTGGTTCATTGTCAGCATATTTAAAACACTTTGGGGAAAGGTTTCCAGGCAACACCAGTCCAATTCCAGGTACCCAATAACGCTGAAGGCCTGACTGCATAGAGACTCTTTTACACAGTACATGTAACCATGAGGGCGGGTTCTATAGCTAAAAGGCCTAGAATCTGGTGTGGTCTCTGGCCAATAGCATAGAAGTTGGCAGGCCATAAAGCACATGTGATATCTCCCCTTAGGTTGGGTACAGGTCTAGGGAGTTGGGGTAATCATTCTGGGGAATTAGGTAAGTGAGGTCTGCCTCCACAGAGAGCAAAAAAGGTCACCAGGTCAAAATCCACTCTCAGCCTTCTGGATAGAATGCAGGTACTTGAATTTTATCTCCTCTATTGAGGAAACCCCCCTCCCTGTATGATTAACATTCCTGGTTCTCTTAGTGCTACTCAGTGAGCACAAGGACCTCTGTGCCCCCTACAGAAAGCATGATCTGTTCGGGGCTGGATGTACAGTGCGGGAGGAACAGATGCATATGTGAATGAATGATACAGATGAACAGATGAGCTGGATCCGCTCTCCACACTGTGCAGGCTCCTGGGTGGACTAAGGCATGGTTTAGCTGGTGCGCTGTAGGGAGTCAGGCAGAGGTTGGGGAGGAAGGGATGTTGAACTGAAGCCCTTGGGAAGCCGTGGGAGCGACCCACGTGAGGCGCCTCCTGCTTCACATACCTTCTGACTTTTTGCTTGAGGTGTGACACCTTGCTGGAGGCTGGGGTCAGAGCTAAAGGCCCCATGAGGGCCAGGCCTGGGGGTACTGCAATAATGCAAGCACGCAATACGGAGGTAGCAGGTAGCGGTGCCTCGCTCAGCGCATGCGCAAAGAAAGGGAGGGCTTGTAGTGCCCCAGGGACATCAGGAAAACTTTTCTCCTAGAGTCGATGCTTGAGCTGAGAGCGATTGGCTGGGAGAGAAAGAGGTGGGGTGGGGAAGTTGCCAGGAGAAACAAGACCCCGAGGCACCCGTAGCTGAACTTTCAGCAGGACTGCCTCTGTTGCGTTTGCTTTGTTTTTGTATTATCGGTTAGCTTTAAGAAATGCTTTTCATTTGCGGAGAACAGAAGAGAAAAGGACCGACTATTCATTACCTCGATAACTTTGAAAATGAGGCGGCGTTTGTGATGGTTGAGTTTCCTCATCAACTTCACTGGGTGTAGAGTCACCCAGACACCCCAAAGTGTGTCTGTGAGGGTGCTTCCGGAAAGCATAACTGAGGGGAGCCCCTGCCCCCACCCCCCACAAGGTTGGCACCATCATGGGCTGGGGACCCAGGCTGTGTACAAAGGAAAACTAGGAAGCCAGCTGAGTGCGGTATTCATTGTCCTCCACCGTCTTTTCCACCAAAATGTGGGGAGGGAAGGAGCCAGCCTCATGTTCACACCGGGCCTTCCGCATCCCATAAGCCCCCAGCCAAGACAAACCTTTTCTCCCTCAAGTTGCTGCTTGCCAGACATTCATTCGGTCATAGCAATGAGATAAGTGACATACGGCGTCTTTCCACCTTTACGTGACTGTGTGCCTGCACTCGACTAACAGATGAGTGTGTGTTTGTGCATAGTACACCTGTATATACGCATGTAGCATGTAGCATAAGCAGACCTGTATAAACAGCCTGCTGGTACATGCCTGTCTTATCTCTTTCTGAATGGGATAGCCTGCTCCCCTAGTTTTAGGGATGAAATAAGTTACATCTCTCTCTTTCTCCTCCTCCTCCTCCTCCTCCTCCTCCTCCTCCTCCTCCTCCTCCTCCTCCTCCTCCTCCTTCTGCTTACATTTCTTTACTGTCCAAACAGTGCTAACCTAGAGCATGTCCAGCGCAGTCCAATAGGACAGTTTTACCTTCCCTTGGGGATCCCCAGGAATTTCAAGGGGTATACAAGAAATCCCTACATATTCTTGGACCTGAGCTAACGTTGACTGCTTCCCATCTGCTCACTGACAATGTATGCATTTAACTAGGCAAGAAGCTTCATTCTAGATAGACAGTAAATACATCCTGGACTAGTAACCTCTTCACTCAGCCATTGCACTGTCCCCAGTCCTCCAGATAGCACTCACCACACAGTACGTGTTCAAAACTATGCTAAGTGAATGAATGAAGTAGAATTTCTTTTCTTCAGACAAAGAAAGTTTTTTGAACATTTGTTTTTGATGTGCTCAACAGAAATGCACATATAACAAAGGGAAACCTTCATCTGTGGCAGATTTAAAGATAAGAAGAACCTTGAAGAAAACAAACACAGTTTCCATGGAACCCAGTGAGCTCCAAGCATCAACTCAAGCAGACACCAGAAGCCTACTGGCCGAGGCTTGCAAGGGATTCCTTGTTCGGGAGGGATGTTAGACCAAGTGATCACTCACAACTCTTCCAGGGTAAAATTCTGCCACTGAATACTTTTTATTTATCTTTTCTAATTTATTAGTCATAGCAACTAAGCAGATGGCAGAAGACTCCAGAGGAGACATAGTTGTAAATGAAAACCATATTCTGATGGGATCCAAATATCTGTGGATAAGAAATGAGATTTCTTGAGAAGCCTGCAGGATGTTATTTGATAAAAGGCAGATAACTTTCAAACAATGGAATTTTGAGAAATATTAAATGTCAGGATGTGTTTAAACATTTATTTTTTAATTTAACCTACCATACCCAAAGTTCATATCAACAAATGAAATAGCTGAGAATTGAGTAAGACAAATAAAATGGACTCATTTTTCTTTTCTTTTTTTTCCTTTCTCTGTTTTTCTTTTTTTGCTTAGTCTCATTGTGTAACCCAAGTTGACCTTCAAAACACAGCCCTCATAGGTGTATGCCACACATCTGGCTAATAGATCTTTTTGTCAGACGCTCCAAACAGAGGTGGAGAGATGGCTCAGTGGTTGAGAGCACTGGCTGCTCTTCCAGAGGACCCAGGTTTGATTCCCAGCAACCACATTATGGCTCACAGCTGTCTTAGCTCCAGTTTCAGATCTGATGCCCTCTTCTGGCCTCTGTGGACACCAAGCATGCATGTGGTGCAGAGACACACATGCAGTCTAAATACCCAGATTTATAAAATAAACCAATGAAAAATCTTTTTAAAATTAAAAATATTAAACAAAGAAAGCCGGCGTATTTTATTTTGATATTTGGTGGGGAAATTCGGGCTCAACACAAACATTTCATTAGTTTGTCTCGCTATGGTTCTAAGTTTTTGTCTACTCCTTCATTCAGGAAATATATATTGGGAGAGAAAAGGAGGCCACAGTGACCAACCACAAAGAATAAGGCTGTCGGCCTGAGTAATACCCTAAAGAAGACAAGATTGTTGCATATTTAAACAGATGTTTTAAAAAGTTTATTATGAAAAATAGGCATCTATTAAATAAAATTTTAAATATGGAAATTGTAAAAATATCAGCTATAATTATCATGTAAATAACTACAGTTATATTTTAATGTTGTTTCTTCTAGAGTTCTTATGCATCTACATTTAAATTTTTAATTTGTGTGTGTGTGTGTGTGTGTGTGTGTGTGTGTGTGTGTGTGTGTGTGTGTGTGTGTGATTACAGGACAGCTTGTGGAGGTAGGTTGTTCCCGTCTACCATGTGAATTCCAGGAATTGAACTCAGGTCACCAGGCTTAGCAGCAAGCACCCCTACCCACTTAGCCATGTAAATATTGTTTCATTGTGATATTTCTGTAGGAGCTGTTTTGAACCTGCAATCACTCATTGCTAGGTAGACTGGTGGGATATCTAACTTGTTAGGTCAGAAACTTTGTTCCTTAGAGATTTGATACCTGTATCTTAGCTTTTTTTTTTTCAACACGTTAAATGTAACTCCTGAATTTAAATCAAGTTTGAACATATAGGTTGTGGTTAAAAACAACAACAACAAAGTCTATTTTTAAATTTAAATCTGGTCATCATACTGTCCAGATTATAAAATTAGACTACAGCTTGCTAACTGGTTACTCAAGCTGGCACCAGAGAGCCTACAGCTGGCCATTGGCGGTAATACTACAACTAACTTCAATGTGACTAATCACTTGCCTACTGTTTCTTTGATAATCTATCGCCCTGTTAGTCTCTGTTTTGGTCACAGTGGTATTTCTAGGGCCTAACTTGTTGTCGTCTGGTACAGCCTTGGTTCTTGTGAACACAAGTTAAGTAAGTGACTTATTTATTGGGAGACTTTGTTAGTGGGGTTGTTGGGATCATAGCCTGGGCCTTGGCAGCCCTAAGAACCTTGGCTCAACCATCCATCTTCGGTATGCTAATCAAATAGACAGTGTGGTATGAAAAACAGGAAAAGATTTATTCAATGTGACCACATTAGGCAGAGAGCATGAGTAATTTCACTCAGTAGTTTGAAAAAGGCTAGCTACGTGAATGCTGATCTTCACGCTGAGTTGAGACGCTCCTGGTACTGGAAAAGGAACACTCCGAGGGCCCATCTTGTATCTCTAGGTGAGATATGTCTGAGTGAGACACCAGATACAAGTTGTGAAAGCGAAGATCATTTTAAATTGAGTGAGAGCAGGCTCCAGCAAGCGTGTGGCACAGGAATCCCATTTTCTACTTCTCTGAAGGGCTGGACCTTTCTTGGTAGGTGATTGTGCTGGGGACAGTGCAAATGATGGCCTTTCTTGGTTGCTGAATCCAGAGCTGACTTCCTTGTGATTCAGTCCCGGGCCTCTCATTATCTCTCCCCTCCTCATGGCATTTCTGTCAATGGTAAGAGGAGAGTTTCCGGAAGGTCCTGGCTTTCTTTCTGTGGGGCCATCCCGACCCTCCACCCCGAGGACTGTGGAAAACAAAAATAGAAACAAGAGCCAAGTCTGAGCCTGTGCTGGTTTCCAGAACCAGTTAGTAGATGCTGTCATTGGGCCTCTGCGGGCCAAGACAATCCTCTGTGCTGTCATTGGGCCTCTGCGGGCCAAGACAATCCTCTGTGGTGTTGTTTGCTTTCTCAAACAGTTACCCGCCTCAAGTCTGTTCTTCCCACACCCACTTCACGACCACAGGAACCGAATCTGTTTTTGTTCACCTCTCTGTGTGGCTGACAAAGTTCCGGGAGTCCTGAGGCACTGCCCCAGTAAGTGTAAGGTTAATGACTGACAAGCTGGCCTTACCGCAGCAGCACCGCACACTAGTAACACGGGTGTCCCGCGATCAAATGAAAACGAAATGACACTTTTTATCAAGGATGGGTACTGGCTCTGAGTGGGGATGCTCTTGTGACGGAAAAGCTCCCTTTCCCAAGGGTGTGGAGCACTGTCCCAGCTGCTCCCTCGGCCCCAGGCCATCCAGGCTCTTCCCTCACAAGTGAATTAATGGGAAGGAGGATGATACCTTCCCAACTCCGAGCCCAAGTTATCCGTTGCTCACTCATCACCTGCCCTGAAGTTTGCCAGCCTCTTCCTTTGCCACTTTGGCACTTGGGACACATCGGAGGCCAATTGTGTGTGAGCACTGACACACTCGAGTAACGAGGGTACAGTGTGTGTCTGCACAGGAAGGAGGTCAGGTCCCCAGAGAGGTGTTCTGATCCCCAGGGGATCTGGAGGACAGCAGACGTAGGCACTGTAGGTGGGCAGACTGTGACGGTGAGGGCCATGGACACCTGAGAACTGCCACTTGTCAGGGTCACACCTACGTTGGTGTGTTTGCTTAGGGTGTGGGCCTGGTTTCCAGGTTACTGCTTGTTCTTAATCTCCAGGCCAGAGTGTGTGATGACATTTGTTCCAGGTAAACCTCCACTTTCTCTGCTCCATTGTGAGCCTTCTCACCTTGGAGTGTTAGCAAAAGCAGCCACTCAGGAAACCCCACTCCTGCCCAGCTGCTGCCAGGGAGGCGATGAGAAGTCACTCAAGACATTCAGCCACTTCCTGGAAGGGAAAATACAAGACTGAGGGAGGCTGGGGATGGGAACTCGAGGAATCAGGTTAGGAGGTGGATGGATGGGGAGAGTATCGACAGGGATGACTGGAAAGGGGGTGGGCAATTTAGGGTCAGATAGAATCCTGATGCAAGGGCAACTCCTATGAATCTACAAGGATGACCCCAGTCAAGACTCCTAACAATAGTGAATACATAGTCTGAACTGGTCCTCTTCTGTGATCAGATTAGTGACTACCCCAATTGTCAGCAGAGAGACTTCATCCAGTAACTGATGGAAACAGATGCAGAGCCCCATAGGGGAGCCCTGCTGAAGAGAGACAGGAAGGATTGTACGACTCAGAGGGGTCAAGGACATTACAAGAAAACCCACAGAAACAGTTAACATGGCTCCTAGGTATTCACAGAGTCTGACCCAACAACTGAAAAATGCCTGCATGGGACTAACCTAGGCCCTCTACATGTATGTGAGTTGTGTATCTTAGTGTACTTACAGGATTCCTAACAGTGGGAGCAGGGCTGTCCCTAATGCTTTGTCTGGTTCCTGGGAACCTATTTCTCATATTGGATTGCCTTTTCCAGCCTCAATACAACGGCAGATACGTAGTCTCCCTGCAACTTGGTAATGTCACGGTTTGTTGATACCCATGGGAGGCCTGCCCTTTCTGAACAGAAACAGAGGAATGAATTGATGGGGGAGTAGAGGGGAGGTGGGGGGAAGGAATAGGAGGAGAGGAAGGGGAAACTGTGGCTGAGATGAGGAAGGAAGGAAGGAAAGAAGGAAGGAAGGAGGGAAGGAAGGAAGGAGGGAAGGAAGAGAGGAAGGAAGGAAGGAGGGGAGGAAGGAAGGAAGGAGGGAAGGAAGGAAGGAAGGAGGGAAGGAAGGAGGGAAGGAAGGAAGGAAGGAGGGAAGGAGGGAAGGAAGGAGGGAAGGAAGGAGGGAAGGAAGGAGGGAAGGAAGGAAGGAAGGAAGGAGGGAAGGAGGGAAGGAAGGAAGGAGGGAAGGAAGGAAGGAGGGCAGGAGGGAAGGAAGGAGGGAAGGAGGGAAGGAAGGAGGGAAGGAGGGAAGGAGGGAAGGAAGGAAGGAAGGAGGGAAGGAAGAAAGGAAGAAGGGCCTAGTGGGGCTGCAACCTTATCTTTCCAGATGTTTGTGGAGAAATGAGGTCTTCACTGGCTTTGGCTGGTTTTTCTTTAGGGCGGACTTTCTGGGCAGCAGGCCTGAGACAGGCACGCCCAAGTTCAGCCTGTTCCTCAGCACATGAGGGTGCCTTGTTTCCCTCAGGGCTTCTCTGTCTGTGTGGACACTGACTCTTCTTACAAAACAAAGCTGAGCTTGGTTTCATTCACAGGTGCAAAACAACGAGGCCTGGATTCTGTAACGAGAACATTAGTCAACTAGGGCATAGCCAGCATGTCCCTCCCCCACACCTCACGTTCACTCCTCAGCGCACTAATGTTCGCATTGCTATTTCTGTCCCAGTAGAGAGTTCAAAGATTTAAAACATTTAGGGGCTGGGGAGATAGCAAGCGTGGGACCTGGGTTCAAACCCCAGCTTCCATGTAAAAAGCTAGGTGTGATAGCACATGTTATAGTCCTATTGCTGGCTATATGGAGATGGATGGGTCCATTGGGCTCACTGGCCAGCCAGCCTATATTAATCAGTGAGAGACTCTCTCAAAAAACAGAGCAGACAGCTCCTGAGGATAGCACTCCAGTTTGACACACCTTCTATGGTGCCCTGCCCGTGACATGTGCACATAATGAACAGTCATATTCACCCACATGCATATACACAAATGATTTAAAACATTTAAAGAAACAATAGGCAAAGTAGCTATTTCAGCCTTCTATTTGATGACCCTCTTGGCCTAGTCTTGAGAGCTCAGGATCCAGGATGCAGAGAAAATTGCTTTATTATTTCTTCCCCAGCTTTTAACTCCTTAAGGGGAAGCCAGGGACTGAAGGGATCTTCAGATTAACTTGACTGATTCCCCGCCTCCTGGCATTGCCCACTGGGACTCATGGGCCCAGAAATGCTGTCTCCTGCTTGAGAGCCCATTGCTCATAAGAATAGGAGATGTACCCAGGATCCTGGGGCCCTTCTGAGGTTCAGCTAACCCTCAGCCTGCTACCCCAGTTGCCTCCTTCCTCACATCTAGCTGTGGGTACTTTGTTACATTCTGTCCCCAATGCCTTCATGGGCTTGTCACCAGGGCACATTGTTCTTTGAGTAAACAATACTTGCCCAACCTTTGTTTGCTTGGAGGTGTGGTGTCTGCTTCTGGCAATGTCTTGGAAACACTTGGAGAACTCTGCAAGGCACCCTCTGTGTCCTTTCTAGTTTTCAAGGACTGGGGTGGTGATGCCACTCATGCTTGAACAGAAAGAACAAGCAAAGCTTGTTTCCAAGGTACAGCGGTGCATGCAGGGGCCGTGTGTGTGGTGACCAGGAAAGGACCAGGACTCTGGAACTCTTGGGAAACCATCTTCTCCAACCTGGGAAAAAAGTACAGGTTTATGGGGCTGGAGAGGTGGCTCAGCAGTTAAGAGCACTGGTTGCTCTTCCAGAGGACCCAGGTTCAGTTCCCAGAACCCATGTCGTAGCTTACCATTGTCTGCAACTCTAGCTCCAGGGGATCAGATACCTTTACATATCCATACATGGAGGCAAAACACCAATACACATAAAACAAAAATAAAAAATAACTAAAAAAGAAAGCACAAGGTTTGTAGCTCACATGAGGAAAGCCAGAGTGTCTTAGTTACTTTTCTATTTCTGCAACAAAACACCATGACCAAGACAACTTACGGAAGAAAGAATTTATTGGGGCTTACTGTCTCAGGGTGTGTCCATGACCATTGTGGCAGGAAGCATGGCAGCAGACAGGCATGGGACTGGAGCAGCAGCTGGGAGCTTATGTCTGATCTACAAACAAGAGGCAGAGAGAGTTAACTGGGAATGGCGTGGACTTTTGAAACATCATAGCCTACCCACAGTAGCACACTTCCTCTAACAAGGCCACACCTCCTAATCCTTCCCAAACATTTCCACCAACTGGGGACCAAGCAAATATATGAGCCTAGCACTGTCATTCTTATTCAGACCACCACACCCAGTTATAACCCTGGAACACCAGCCCCACCCTGTGCCATGCTTACTTCACTCCGCACTCTAGGTGGTGCCTGTTATGTGTGCAAATATCTATTCATCTTATCCTCTACCCAGAGTGGCAGCATCAATTATTGTCTTAACGAGACGAGTGAGGGCCAGTTCCTCCTCCAAAGTCACACAGCCGGAAAGTAGCCGAGTCTAGAGTTAAGCTGGCTTACCCTACACTTCATTTCCCCCCAAAGGTGACCCTTGCTTTTGAAGACATGGCCACAGGGCTCCCCAGAGTTGAGATCACTTGCAGCTGAGTTGCTGCCTCCAGGCGGGTGTTTGGCTTCTGCTCTGTTCTTCACGTCCAGACTCCAGAAGGGGACGGAGGACATCTGTTTATTTCTCCCCTGCGATGGTTGCTCTTGACAGCCAGTGTGATGGAATTCAGAGTCATCAAGGTGGCGTAGCCGACTAAAGAGGGAAGACCTACCCTGAAAATCAGTGGTATCACCCCATGGGCTGAATAAGAAGGAAAAAGGAGGGAGAAAGCTGAGTACCAGCATCCATCTCTCTCTGCTTCCCGATTGTCTATGAAGGTGAGCGGCTACCTCGGTTTTCTGTCACCACGCCTTCCCTCCGTGGCAGGCTGTCTCCTCTTGAATCCGGCCCCTTCCTTCTTTAAATTACCTTTTCCAGGCATTTTTGTAACAACAGTGAAAATAGTATCTGATAGATCCCATTTCTGGTGCCATTTTCATGTCAAGGGGAGGAGGGAGAAGGCAAGCAGGTCCAGCCACCTCCATTCTCTCCTCTTGATGTCTGTACCAGGGACCACCATGACGGAAGGGACTGACTGGACTATGGTGCCTCTGGCTGGGGCATCATCACAAGGTTTCAGCACTGGATTCTGGCACACAGAACCAGAGTGTGCTTACTCCAGAGAATGTTGAGTTCATTTCAGCAGGGAAGCTTAGTCTCCATGGGAATAATAGTAACTGGGGATTTAAAAAGACGGTTATACCTCTCTAGCACATGAGTAGTAAATTGTTGCCAAGCACAACCTATCATCATCCTTTTCAAAGATGTTAAACAAATATATTCCAGAAAAAAATGTATCTATGTCTTGAAAGATTGTTTTTGTTTCCAATGGAAAATGTGACAACCCTGTAAAGAAAGCCAAGTTCTGAATGATATTGACATGAGGCTTTTAAAAAGATTTTGTTCATTTTATTTTATGTGTGGGTGCTTTGCCTGCCTGCATGTCTGTACATCACACACGCACCTGATGCCCGTGGAGGCCATAAGAAGGCATGAGATCCCCTGGAACTAGGATTACAGATGGTTGTGGGCTGCCATGTTAGTGCTAGAAATCGAACCTGGATCCTCTGGAAGAGCAGCCAGTGCTCTTAGCTCCTGGACCATCTCTCCAACTCATGTTAATTTTTTCACCATATCATTAGGAATTAAAAATACCACCTGTCATAAGAAAGCTCATAATGAAAGATGTGGTAAAGAAGTTGCCAGCCTTTATTGTGAACACCTTTTAAAGGTAACAGCAATAACAAGAACATCTAAGTTCTACACTTGCTTCCTCCTTCTCCTCTTCCTCCTCCTCCTCTCTCTCTCTCTCTCTCTCTCTCTCTCTCTCTCTCTCTCTCTCTCTCTCTCTCTCTCTCTCTCTCTCTCTCTCTCTCTTCTTAATGGCCTCCTTCTCAGACAAGTGTGTAACCTGTACCCGATGGCCACACTGTTTTATTTACACTCACCCAAAGGGTTTATGAAAGAGTATGACCTCATAAAGAACCTTAGAAACTTGTGTGCACACCCATGGTGTATGCATTCCCCGCTACTGTCATGCACATGCTCACACACTTAAACATCACACACAAACACTTACACCACACACACTAAATAAACATTTATGGAAATGAAAGAGTGCTTGATAAAACAGGAGAATTCTCTCATACTACCCTGGCAGATATAGGGACTTAGAAATGTGTTGCCAGAGCCTGGAGTTAGACATTGACATCCAGACTGAGTTTTCCTGAGGAGCCAGGGCTTGAACTCAAGTTGTCAGATTTGTATGACAAGCTAGGCCTGACTTGCTAGGCCTTGTCACCATTGTGGGCATGTCACCAGCCTAGGACATCTGAGCAGCCTGGGCCATGTAACCAGCCTGGGCCATGTAACCAGCCTGGGCCATGTAACCAGCCTGGGCCATGTAACCAGCCTGGGCCATGTCACATCCTGGGCCATGTAACCAGCCTGGGCCATGTCACATCCTGGGCCATGTAACCAGCCTGGGCCATGTAACCAGCCTGGGCCATGTAACCAGCCTGGGCCATGTAACCAGCCTGGGCCATGTAACCAGCCTGGGCCATGTCCCATCCTGGGCCATGTAACCAGCCTGGGCCATGTAACCAGCCTGGGCCATGTAACCAGCCTGGGCCATGTCACATCCTGGGCCATGTAACCAGCCTGGGCCATGTAACCAGCCTGGGCCATGTCACATCCTGGGCCATGTAACCAGCCTGGGCCATGTCACATCCTGGGCCATCTCATCATCTCACCAGTGTGGGCCATGTCACCAACCTGGGATAAATGCTTTTGTATGCCAAACTATAACTATAGAGTTAAGAAATAGAGATTTTTGATCATGTATTTTTTTGTACTGCATTTTCTAATCAAGGTAATTTTATTAATTCAAGGCCATTTAATTTGAAAGTTTTGTCATTTGGGCAAGATCTTAATGAAAAGTAAGGTTCTTTTAACACCAGGAAAGAATTTACAAAAGAGCCTTTTAAAAGTCACAAAAATTCCTCCTAATATTTACAGGCAACAAAAATTTTATTTATATTTCAACAATATGTGGACAGGTAAGCTTAGACTGTTATCATGTTATAAACTCCATGAATATAATTTAGATTAAATTCTTTGAGTAGGTAGATTTATTTGCCATGGTACTTTGGTTCACAATGCTTAAAAAAATGTTAAAAGTAGCCAATGAGCAGAATAGAGATATAAAAAGCATGAAAATAAGAAAGATCCTTTGATATGAAAATATTTTGTAAACCAAAATAAGATATTGGCCAAAGGTAATGTGCTAAATTTTCCAAAAAAAAAAAAAAAGAAAACAAAAATAGAAAAGTCTTAGCACAAAAAACATAAGCATCACAAGGTCAGTCACAGGAGTTTTGTGAACGATAAAACCCAAAGACAGTGTGCACATATGATTAAAGCTCATTAACTTCCTAAGGTTAAAATTCT